GGGGGGGGTTCAGTGAAGTAAATGCACTGTAAAAATAATTTGTTGCAGTAATAATGACTGGTGTTGGTCCTATTCCAAATGTGTCCTAATCAAAGTGTTAAAATACTGTGTATGTAGTCAGTACAATATTTGGGTTTTTACAGTAAAATAAATACAGACTAATTTGGCTTCTTGATTAGAAAATGGCTGATGTGAGTCTTGTTTAAACCTAACCAAGTCAAAGTGTTTAAAATAAATTAAACTTTAATTCTCCCAAAAATAAAATAAAAACACTATGAACCCAAAACACCACTCACCCCTCCACACCACATACCCTCACCCCACATTATTAAAATTAATCTTTTCAGTCACAAAATCACTCCACTCTGCTTAAGGCCCTCTTTTGCATGACACATGCAACAAGGCTGGCTAGAAACTCAAGCGTATGTTGGGCCGCCTCCAGCTATCACATTCACCAATACATGGTGAATGTGATAGCTAAAGCAGTGTGCACCCAAAATGAGCACTCTAATCCCAGGTTATTAAAATGTAGCTTCTCAGTAACAAATTTACCCATTTGAAGTGAAGGCTCTCTCATGACACATGTAGTAGGAAAGAAATATTGTGTCACCTTCACTTGGTGGTTCAAAGTTGATACCCAATAGTTCAGGGATATGACTGAATTTAAGTGCCCTTCCTTTCTTTTATATAAAAACTTCTGTCAGCACTTCAGAAATGGCCTTTTCAACTGGCAAACGAAAGCCAACTCATGTAAAGGCAGCCAGCCTATGCCCTTTGGTTTTTCCCCTCCAGCTATGCAATGGAACCAAATACCAGTTTAAATAAGTGTACTGGCCGCTATAGCTAGTGGGGAGACAAAATAGGTGGTACTTTGGACACACACTGTTGTGCAGAGATGTACAGTTGCATGCTGTACACACAGGGCAGCTTTAACTGGACAGCCTCTTGTCTTTGTTCAACCTCACCTACTATGTTACCTGTTTAAGTGTGAAACCAAGGTCATTTTGTAGGATGGAAGGAATCCTTTTTCCTTTAGGTGTTCCCCTTCACTTTTGCATAAAGTCCTTGAATGCAGTCACCCTCAGGAAATGTGAAATTAGATTCTTTGCCACTCTACCTTAGAGTGAAGCACCTTGTCCTACATCTTGGATGATGGCATAGATCCATGCATGATCTTCTCTTTGGATTGGAGAAAGTTTAAACATCCCCACTGAAGACACACAAAAAACCTCCTCCTCCTTTTCACCACCAGCACCACAACCTTCATGTGTAATGCGCGTGCCCCAATCCTTATCCTCTTGATCTTCCTCTGTCTGCTGCTGCCCCTGCAGCATGTAATTAAAAGGATTGATGTTTTTCCCATGTCACTCGCAAAGCTGCATAAAAAGAAGAAGCCTCTACCCCAGAATTTTATATTTAGCATAGGTACATGTCCCCAAGGGCAGTGTCCAGCTCCCTATGTCCTTGCCATTAGCCTCCAAAATGGCCAGAGTTGATTTTCAAGATGTGCCCCCCCTATAGACTTCAGTGGGGTTCAGATTTAAGTTCGCAATTTTTGAACATTACAATGGGTTCAGCAAATGGCCTGTGAACCAAAACCAAGCACATTCATCCTGCCCTAAAAATTACATATCTCCAAATGCCCTTTTCTTAAAACCTCCTAAAACACGAAGGAAAAGAGCACGTTTTGCCCTTTTCTTATCAGTTTCAGAGGTGTATTTACAAATTAAAAAAACAAAAAAAATTATGAGATCCTATCTAATTTTGAGCATCATAAAAGATGTATTATTAGAGTTGTGTATTTTATAAGGAGAAAGTTATTACAGGATGTAAATGACCTGTTATGAGATACTGACATCTGATTATCTGCACACATTGTAATGGCACATCTGTAAAGGAGCTATAGACAGAAGAGGGTGGTTTGCCATGCATGCATGATCCAACCATCCTATAAGGGCCTATAAAAGCAAAGCACTCCATAAACAGAGCTCCATAAAGTCAGCTTCGACTGTTTATGTCAATGGGAGCACAGGGGGAACAAAAGAGTGACACAGGCAGATGTAGCCAGTACTGCTCATTTTGGTGAGCAAAATAGCTATTGGGGCAGGTGTACTAGACTATTCAATCATTATTCCTGAGAGTTGTTTGCTGGAAACCATCTCATGTCTATGTAAGATGAGGACAAAATTGAGTACAGAACAGTTCTCAAAATAATTTGCATATGCAGACATTGTTCAAAAAACATATATGAGGAATGTATTAATGCATGCAGTCTATTGTGATGTATATGTTTAATTGTATATGTGTTAGCACAGCAATCAGTAACTCTTAAAGTGTATTTCCAGTCAGATTGGAGAACCCACACTATACGTTTCTTTTGTCTTCCCATTGACACTGTATAATTATAAATAATAAAAAAATATTTTTACCCTTCTAATGGTGCCTATGGAGCAGCAGTATACATATGACTCCGCAGGAAACTTCTATTGCCCTGAAAAGATGAGAACGTAGAGATAAGAGATGGACTGAAGGAGCAAGACTGAGCGATATGCATTAAGACACAATCTACCATCCAAGTCTTCAGATCTTTAACCCTTTGTTAAGGCAGACAGTCCTGCATATCCAGTTGACAATTTATAATAAAATCTGCCAACAGTGTACATACAAGGTTAATTATGGCAAGTACAACTCCCTAGGCCCTTTATAGTCTTTACATAACAAGTGAGAACTAAGTAGGTTTTTTCAGTCCTGGGGTTTTAAAAAATAGTATTTGAAAGGTAAGCAGAAATTGTATTTATTTTTACTATTATTCTATGTGAATGTGAACATGTAACAAACATAAAGTAGGTGTTATCCCAATTTGGCTGCAAAAGCCGAAATATACTTTAAGCTGCCCATAGACAAATTGCTCAGACTTGCTTGGGTAAACATCTACAGTATCTATAGGGCTATTGAGGAAGAAGGACAAACCACACAGACTATCTCAGCACTAGATTATCTGCAAAAAAAAAAAAGAACAACAATTTGACAGTCTAGAATAGTTTTTCTTAGTTGTTTTGATCTGCCCCATAGACATTATTTTGTTATCTGATCTGGCTCCAAATGGATGAAGACTTATCTAACATCTAACATAGATTAGCTAATACAAACATTTTACAAGGCTAACCAGGCAGCTAAATCAGCAGGCAGAAGTAAATTGGCTAAAAGATGTCCATTTAAAACAATATAGTAAATACTTACCTTTCTTGCTGCCTGCACCACTGAATTACATTCCGATGAAGAGAAATCCTCTGCTAAGGTCTCTTCATATACAAACACTTCCAGACATGCTGATCTCTTGTGCCCCCACCTGTAGTCAGCTGGAGGAACCTTTAAGCGCAGTGGGGTGCAAAGGAGTTTTAGACTTTGTATAGTGTCAGTTTCTGCACCGACTTCACTGGATGATTTTTCCTCAACTGAGCAGCATCAAGTGTCGCATGCATTGGGAAAGGTAAGTATTTACTATATTCTTTTACAGGGACTTGTATTATCTTCTATTACAGGTACATAATTTTGGCCAATTTAATATTGCCACCAGGGTTGCTTTAATAGTTATAGAATCAAGGTGCTTGATTACAGCTTTTGTCCTTCTTGATAGCTTAAAAGAGATTTCCAGCCTAAGCTGTATGTGAAATGGATGAACTGGGGATGATGTTTATTTTAATTACCTCTGCATCCCCTTTTCTTTTTCAGATATTCAGTGGTATTTTGCCAAGCAATTCTACCTCAGGATCTTCTGTTTTAAAAGATGCAACAAGACCTGAACATTAACCAGCTAATAAATTATGTGTATGTGAAGGCAGCGAGTAATCTGTTCACATCCACATTCAGTGTACATTTCTGTATGTACCAGAAACAGAATGCAACTTAAAAACCCAGTAGGCAGCAGTTAAAATAAAAACACATTAGTAATTTAAAAAAAAAGTTTAAAACATTCAAAATAGTGCAAAATAATTTCAGATAATTTTTTTTTAAAGAGGGATATCAGAGGAGTATTTTTGGATGCAAAATATTTGAAATGGAAGAAAATGGTGTACATTCCACTAAAAAAGCCTAACATCCCCATCACAGTTTAGTTTTCATGAACATACTTTCTATGCTGTCAGAAATGCTGCATGGGCTTTTTTCTAAAGACCACCAAGCTAAACTGATGTAGTGATTGCACTAACCTTTTAACTATAACATATACAGTGCACTGGAATCATATAGGTTCATTCCTACACAAAACATGACCCGCTACATAGATACATCTTGTTTCTATCAAAGTCGTTTGACATTCAAAGTAATTTGAAATTCTATGCCCATATTTATTTCTTTCTACCTTTTTTTCTTGAATGCATTATTAAGAATGTACATTAAGAGCCCCATATTCCGTTTATTGTAGACGTGATCATAACATTTGTTTCCTATATATAGATGTTTTCCCAAGCGTAATCCTCTATAATTGTCCCACGCACATGTTCCGATAAGATATATAATTAGATATGTATGTTTTATAATCAGTCCCAGTGAGATAAAGGATGCATATTATGATCTCAAGTGCTAGATGTAGATATATTAACTATTTGTGGTTATAGTCAATGTGCTGCATGTCACAGGATAGGAATTGGTCTGTATATACAGTATTCCGGTGATGAAAAAGAAACAGAAAAGAATACTCTAATCATAAAACAAATGTAGTGATCTCACATGCGATCAAAATAATGCATACTAAATATATACTGTATACTGTGGGTAGCAATATATATATATTAGCCCAACAATTGCCGTATGTATAGGCTAGTTTCTAAAGAGTCCGGGACACCCAACATCAAGTGTCATTATCTAGCTATGAAAACATTTATGTGTGCCTTGCTGACTATGGTGGCTAGTCCTTAAAGATAAATGAATACCAGGCCACATTTTGAGGAATTCATATGCAGATCAGGAAGCAAGCTCTGTGTGCCAAAGTACATGAGATCACATGTTGCCAAAGTACAAAAGTTTTTTAGTATTGAGATACTTTGTTGCAATTCTAGAGACGACTGGAGGGAATGGGCATAGAAATATAACCATTGATAATACAGTGGTAGCAATGGTTACATTTATATGCTCATTCTCTCCAGTGTTCTCTTGAAATGTATCTTGATACTAACATGTATATATTTTCTATGACCATCAGCTCCATTTAGTAACCATAATGCAGTATTTTCCTGATTCACTCTGTTCTGTATGAATAAACCTATTGAGAACATTTGGCCAGAAAAGATATTACACTAAGAACATTTGTTTATGCCCCATTCTCACAACAGCTGCCTAACTTGCACAGAACAAATGTACCTGCAGTTTTTCTGGAAAAATAAACTATGCATTTTTTTATATCAATCAATCCCCTGGTGTGAATGATCAAAAAATAGGAAGGTGCATTTTAGAGGTGCACCAGGTGCCTGGTGTGAATGGAAACTGCAAATACACTTATCATTTAATGTGCATCATCAACATATACTAACCATGCCATAAAAATGGAAAGAGAATCATATGCCTGTAGATATTACTTATCTGCTACTTCTTTATTAGCATGCCATTCTATTATCTAGTTCTCTCCGTCCAAAAGGGTTTTGCCTTGCAAATGATATTGTGTCCAGAATTTTTTATACACTTTAATTCAACCCTAGTTCCGTGTTTTTATCGATTGTATGTCTATTAAATCTTTTGATATTATTAGCATTATGCTAGGTGGATAGGATTAGGACCCAGAAAAATCAAGTATGCATCAAGTATGCACTATACAGAGTGGCATTTTGCAGTGTCCCCTTACAGTGGTGGCAAGTGGAGAAGTGCCCCCTTACACTGGTGATCAGTAGAGTAGTGTCCCCTTGGATTTATGGTCAGTGAAATTTTCCCTTACATTGCTGGTCATTGTAGTGACCCCTTACATTGGTGGTTGGTAGAGAAGTGCCTTCATATGTTTATGGTCATTGTAGTGCCTCCTTATATTGGTAGTCAGTGGAGACATACCCCCATATGTTGGTGGTAAGTGATGAAGTGCCTCCTCATTACTTTGATGATAGGTGGAAAATTGTCTCCTTAATTTGTTGGTCAGTAAAGGAGTAAACTATTTCATTGCTGGACAGTGCTAAATCGCCCCCTTGTGTTAGTGGACATTGCAATGCCCCTGTACATTGGCGGTCATTGCCACAATGTCTCTGTGCTGGTGGAGAGTAAAGTACCCCTTACCTTAGTAGCTCAATGCCCCCCTTATGCTGGTGGACAGTTAAATGCTCTCCAAATTGTTGGTCAGTGATGAGATGCCACCCTCTTCTGCTGGTGGACAGTAAAATTTCCAGCGTACATTTGTGGTCAGTGGTTACATACCTAAAGCAGTGCTGGGGGTGGATTGCATCCATATAGATAGTAAAGCAACTGTAACGAAAGTTCATTACATACTAGAAGACCAGTACAGGCTCAAACATGTGCATGTACTATAGCTCATGGCCCTGTGTACAAAAACAAAGGCAAACATACATTACCCAGCAGGCATGTGGTCCTGGTCCTGCAACCTCCAGTCATCTGGTCCATGCATCCGATCCTCTATGCAGATCCAGTTCAGCCTGCAAACACCAGCAGTCATGCCAATTTGTGTCCTCACAGTCCCTGTTACCACTTCCGGGAGTGGCGGACAAAAGGTGCAAGAGGGGCTCCTGTTCAGCTCGATCTGCACCCAGGTATTTGACAGCAACTTACTTCACTTCACAAATCACTTCATTCTTTGCAGCAAACTCTTAACTGATTCTTTGTCAAAAACAGAGGATATAATAAAAGAGCCATTTTCATCTTATAATACAGGTTTAATGTGCTGGTTACCTTGTATCTTTTTAAGATTATGAGAAGTTATATGACTTAAAGAACTCCAAGATTTTGAAAAATTAACCCTTGCACTGGGGCAAAAATAAAGAATAAATACTCACCCAATCCTTGGTCCTGTGGCAGTGACCGCTCACCTCTCTCTTCCTCCACTTCGGCTTTGATATGTCCCTCAGTGTCTACACGTCTCATAGTCTTGTATTAGATGATGTCACAGGTTCTGAGGGGAAAAGAGGCTACAAGGACTGGTCTAGAAGCCAGGCAGGACCAAAGAGATCAGGTGAGTATTTCTTCTTAATTTTCGCCCTTAAACAACATGGGCACTTAACCCTTGCAGTGGGGGGTAGCCCCACTGCAAGAGTTACCTTTTTGAATCCTGGAGTATCCGCTTTAATACTTTTTTCCTCTTCTAATAACATTTAAATTGCTGTAGATTTACATTATACTGTAGCATGGTGTACATAAACTGTAGCATGGGGTACAAAAACTGATTGGAGGGTCACAGATACTATTACCACCACCTATATTTGGGCACACAGATGTGAGAAAGAGGACCTTGTTCCTCAACATTAAGACACGGGTACTTTGCAAGGGGGAGGGAGGCTTGAAAGGCATGTGACCTGGTATGCTACAGGAAGGAATTCTGTTCAATATTTTCCACATAATGGCATGTTGTGAAAACATTGCTGCAGTGCATTCCTTAGTTCCCTATTCTTAAAACTGTATATTATAGGATTTAGCAATGGAGTCACCACAATATATAATAATGACAACAGTTTGTTGACATTAAATGACTGATTATTAGAAGGGACCACATACATTATTATCAAAGTTCCATAATACATGCTGACCACTATTAGATGAGAACTACAGGTTGAAAATGTTTTATGTCTGTCTTTGCTTGTGATCATTTTGAAAATAGTCCGAAGAATAGAAATATAAGACCAGACAATAACTATAAACGGAAAGAGAGTGATGCAAAACGAAAAAACAAGGGCTTCCACTTTAACTTCAGTTGTGTCTGAACAAGAAAGATCTAAAATGGGCTCCCGGTCACAAAAAAAATGGTCAATGCCACTAGTCTTGCAAAACTGCAAACTGCTCATCAGGATAATTGTCCCTAATGTAGCCATAAGACCAGCTGTCCAAACAACAACAGCAAGCTTAACGCAAAGTCTTTCATTCATGATAGAGGTGTAATGCAGTGGACGGCAGATGGCTAAGTAACGGTCATAGGACATGACAGCAAGGAGAAAACATTCAGTTGTGGCAGAAGTTCCAAACATGTAAAACTGAAGAAAACATTCTGTTACGGAGATGATTCCAAGATCAACCGTTAGTAAATATAACATATTAGGCACAATGTTCGTGGTCAAAATGATTTCACATGCAGACAAGTTGCTTAGGAAAAAGTACATTGGTCTGCTGAGTTGTTGGCATATGGATGAAAGTACTATAATCAGAACATTTCCCGAGATGGTAAACATGTATGTCAAGAGAAAAATGACAAATAGAAATTCCTTAAAAGGGCGAGGTATTTGAAATCCAATCATTATAAATTCCCTGAGGCTGATATTTGTCTCGTTTATTTGCATGGTCTGTAAGACAAAGTAAAAAAATATATGTACAGTACAATGATGGAAATGAAAGTATTCTATATTATGTACTGTACATCTAATCACCAGTGAATCTTCATGAATCATAAGTGGAGGAAATGAACATTTTGGAGGGGTTTGTGTAGGAAAATTTAGCTTGCATCAAGCTGCTTTTGAATTGGGAAAAACTATTTGTTTTCAAAAGCCCAAAAGTTGCCAACTAAATTCCTTCTCCTTAACTTAACTTAAAAACTCCTCCTTATTTTTTAAACTTCAATTAAAAACATTGCAATTTACATCTGATTGGATAGTATGAGCAAAACAGTTTTTTTCCTTTCGCATCCTTTAAACCTAAAGTTTATAGTCTGCTTTTTCTGGTCCACTCCCCGTTCCCATCAACATGCTAATGAAATGTTCAAATAAAACCTTTACATTTTCATTACATACCTGATTTTAGACCCAGTAATATCATTACTAGGTCTCTGAGCTTTTCAAAACAATGCAGTCAGATCATGGCTAGTGGGAGGGGTCGGCAGGGTGCTGTACATAGCTTCCTAAAAACATCACAGCACCCTGCCTTGTTGCTGCTCTTAAGAGCCCTCAGCACTGATGCAAACAATGGCTTGACTCTTGGGAGGAGTTATGCAAATATCACAATGGCTTGATCTGCAGGAGTGGTTGTTTCTAGGCAGACTGCATTTGCATGTATTGTAATGTCCACATGTGATTATGAGCCTCCATGATTGACAGAACAGAAATCCAGTGAATTAACGGGGCAGGCCTGGGACAATGAAGCTAAGATAGAAAGCGATAAATTATGTTGGATGACCTCCAGCTAGGAATTGAGGCAGGCTTTGTCTGACTTGCTGCAGCTTCCAATGCACAATGTTAGAAGCTCACAGTGTGTGATTAAAATTCAGTACAAGAGAGGAGACTGTACCACAGTGTAAGACTACAGGTAAGGCTAAAGTTCAACTTTAAACAAGTTCTAAACAAGTGGTGTTTAGTTGTTATCATATGTTAGGATTGAAAGATTACGTACAGTACCATTGACTTGGAAATAAAGTTACAGTTTTCCATTATTCAGAGACCCCAAAATGTATCCTGTCAATGCCTTTGCCAAATTACTAACTGAGAAGAACAGTTTAGGCTGCATTTTTTCTAACTGGCTTTTTGCTATGAGATAAACCCCTGTGACATTGGACAAAAGCATCTGAGACTCACACTAGACTATCACAGAGCTGCACATTTGTCAAATCACTAACAGAGGAGGTTCACAAATAACATTATTTTAAAACTGCAAAGCTGATACTTAGAGGGTTATTCACTAATGAGCCGAAGGATCCAACTGTAGCTTCAGGACTGCTGTACAGCCTATTCACAATAGCTATTCCCCATCGGCACGGGGACAAGGTGCTTTTCCAGGGGGGGCCTGGAAAAGCACCCCCCCCCAGCATTGGTATGGCAGGGGGGGGCGCTTGTCTCCTCCCTTTTCTGTCCTGCCAGGCCTGTGCTCGGATCAAGGGTCTGGTGGGAAATTTTAGGGGGGACCCCACGCTATTTTTTCCCCATTTTTGGGGTGGGGTTCCCCTTTAAAATTCCTACCAGACCTTAAGGGCCTGGTATATCTTTGGGGGGGACCACACACACTTTTATTTATTTTTAACTTAGGGGCCCTCCTAAAATTATTTTTTAAATAGGACCTAAAGGGTCTGGTATGGTTTGGGAGTGGGACCCCACAGTGTTGTTTTTTTGGGGTTTTTTCTTAAAACGTTTTAATGTTTTCTTAACTTTATTTAATTTTTGTTTTTTTTTTACATTTATTAAATTTTTTTAACATATATTTTAAAGAATGTTTTCATTTGTTTAAGTTTTTTCTATTCTGCTTGCTAGCTCGGAGGTAGCGAGCAGAATAGCCGAATGCCGTTCGGTCCCTATGAGAATAGGAGCAAACAGCAATGAGTGAACTGCCGGCTCAGCCAGTCCAGATGTTGGATCAGCTAAGTCGAAAGGCTTCTCCACTTCGGCTCAGTCGAACATGCAGAGCATGTTCGGCTGACCTAAGGCAGCCGATGTACAGCTGATTTTAGCCAATGTACGGCTGAAATTAGCCGTACTGAGCTGACGTTAATAGCCGAACGACGTTTGGCTCAATTCACTTCGGCTGGGTTATTCACTTGGCTGCCTTTGGCAGCCTTGTGAATAACCCTCTTAATCATTGTTCCAAAAGGGAAAGCTTTTCAGAGGCACTGGGCATTTTTGTATATTCTTATACAACTTCTTCTAAAAGAAGGAGATGAGCTCACTGTGTCCAGTTGGGTGACTCCAAACAATCTGGTTTTCTTCATTGAATAGCTGAAAGACTTAAATGTAGATCAACAAAGATCCGATTTCATCATAATGTTTTTATTGTTCACAATTCAATAAAATCAACAAATCAGCCTAAGCATTTCAGGGGCAAAAACATCCCCCCTCCTTGGGGCTTGACATTGAAATACAAATTTCAAAGTCTCAAAATAGTAATAGCCTTTCTGCCATGAACGTACAGTAAGTGCAGAAGTGTTGTCGTTATACCACACAAAGATCTTTCTGGCTACTACTATTTTTAGTCCTCAAATTTTAATCTCATTGTCCCAAGCCCTGAGGAAGGGGAAGTAAAAAAGAGCAGTAGTTAAAAGAGCACATGTACTAACAGGAATAGATGGACTTTTCTTTATAAAACATTGTGTGATCCTTGCCTTTGCTTTATCAATAGCATTTCTAGGTAATATAAGAGTTAACAAGCATTTGAAAGTGACCCAATTTTAGTACTTGATGTAGAATTGATCTTTTATGGTCTGATATGCAGTTAACAGTGAAAGATGCATTTATTGACAACTAAATTGTATTAGAAATAAACAAAAATATCTAAACCCTGAAACAAAAGAGCTAAATATTGCAGTTCTTAGATGTGGACACATGAATTGTGGGAGGACCAACAGGTATTTTATTGTATGAGTACAAAATATACTTGGCCTGAATAATTGAAAAGTAATTCAGCCACCACATCTGGTATTATGCAATAGATAGATTTAGATATTCCTTTAACAATTTTTAATGTCTGAGTGACAAATAATGGTCTAGTATGACTGTGTCTGTAGAATATGTTAGTTCATGATGTTTATTTAAATTGGATATATCATTAAAAGTCACACTTTTTATAAATAACTAGGACACATGCTAGCATCACCAAATCACATTTTTTTAGTGAAAAAAACAACAAATTATTCCTTTCTTGCAATTAATAAAAAAAGTGCCGTCTGCCAGCTACAAGCCTAGGCAGCTTAGATCACATTGTCTCTGGTGACCTATCTTTACTAAAAATAGCCTATTGTTTCAATGCAAGGTGCTGACAGAACATTCATTTTAAATGTAGTACACTAGATAAACAAAAAGACAAATCATTAAAAGTCACATTAATAATCTGAACAAATCTGTCCTCAAAATACAAACAAATGAAACAAGATAATGCAAAACATGCAGATTCAATTTCCAACGTATCACATATTTATTTAATAGAAAAAGAAAGTATGACATTGTATGATTGGGTATACACAAAGATAATCATTGCATGATAAAGTGATAAAGATATAACTTTTTACATGTACATCAAGCATCGTGTTACTTATTCCTGTTATAAAATAGAAATACAAAATAATGTAACGCTGTCAATTCTCCAGGATCACCCACCTGTTTCTTTTTATTAGCGTTTTATGAGTTGAGTAGTGAGTAATTTATGACATTATTCAAATTCCCTTACCTTAAATTGTTATATAATAATTGGGGGTTCATTCACTTGAAATTGACAGTGCTCTATGAAAAATTATCCTTCTTATACGTTTTAAATACATAACGGATTTTTAAATAATAAATTCTTGCCCTCTCGGGGTCAATTATCAAATCCCCTGAGGCTAAAATACTGAAAATCTAACTACATGTAAAAGATAAAATATAATGATGGTAATTTATTAAAACTGGAACTCATGAGAACCAATTGGCTTCTATCTTTCATTTTCAAATATTAACTGAACAAACTGAAAACAGAAGCTGATTGGTTACTATGGGCAACTGCTCCAGATTCTGTCTGCTCCAATTTTAAAACATTTCCCCCAACGTTCTTTCAGTAAGCACATATTTTGAGTTACTATTTTAGTGGCTCCTCTAAAGTAATTTTTAAATTGTTTTCATGTTTTTGTTATTTTATGAAACATAAACGATCTATAGTTTATGCACTAGAAGTAACTATCAGTGGCTCAGTGCTACCACATAGTGCCTCTTGCTTGACAAATGTTGAGAAAAGCTTTTAGCTACATGGGGGGGTGTCAGGTCCAGTGGACAGTATGCTATGACTTATTGTAAATATGTTGGTAATCAGTGTGATTGGGGTTAGTAGGCACGTGACTGAACCTTCCAGTAGAGGTGGCAAGATGATGGAGTTGCAAGGGTTAACCAGGCTTCAGTGACTCAAATGCTGTAAAGTGTAAATGAGATTTATGTAACACAGTTAGCATCTTGGTGTTGTTATGGGAATAGTTTTGCCTGGACCATTCCCAGGCGGTGTATTTCACCTCTTCTAGCCAGGGAGGCACCAAGAATTGAGCCTTCTAAGTACCCTCCAACAAACAAAAGAAGCCCAAACCCAGCATCTTTATATTAAAGGTAATTCATAAAAGATTAAATATGGATCCAGGGATTACCATCTGGAGGTCCTAGTATATATATTCCAGGTACCCTCGTTATTCCCAGTAGAATGACAACAGACAAGGCAGTGGTATCTTTAATCG